ATTCTGTATGTGCCTTTCCCAAATCGAGAACGTTTTTTAGTAGTTGTCGTTGATTGCCGTCTGTCATATTTTTTTTTAATTATAATCAGATATTTTTTAGTAACTAACACGTATTAAGATTTATCCGTGTTACAACTCTTTGTGTATAAAACGCAGTATCTGCAATAAAAACAATACTTGATTTGCATGGTGCATATCGACGAGAAATGAAAACAGAAATCTGTATACGTGTATGTATATGTCTATCGTTTTTAGTATAAGATTTGATATACTCTTTAATACACTAATGTAATATAGTTAGAGTGATTACATGACACAATTCTTGAACAATATTTCTGTTTTAGCTGTATTCTGAAATTCAGTATGAAAAAAAAAAAAAAAAAAAAACGAGTTAAGGTTTGATTTCAATCTTATTTATAATTGCTGTGAAAAATAGAGACAATACCTTATCACCCTGTTATCGCTTACAAATAGATCTCTTAAATACATTACCCGCTTTGCCACTAGGACGCCACTAGTTTACAAGAAAGCCGTTTTGCAAATCATCATTATGGTAACAAATTAAAATCAAAATAAAATTATCACATAATGTTCTTTTTTTATTGTTTGATAGAAATCGATGAGTATCGCAGGTTTCACAGTTAAAATATTGAATCAATAAGTTAATTCATTAAATGCCATCCTAAAGCATCATTCATTGAAAATGACTGGTATTGTCTCTTTAGGCTCATCATACTAAAACAAGATTTCTTTCGTTTGCCGTTACCCCTTCTACCTTAATTTTTTGATACTTTTTCGACATGTCTTATTTTAGCTTTGCGTGACCTTTTATTATATAAATACTTGTTTTTTGATAAAAAAAAATACCCGAAAGAAACCAAAATTTTCCAACTAGATAGCAAACAACAGTGTCACAGTATGAACCTTACATGTATGTATGCTGCAACCGCTTTTCTCTCACCACCTTTTAAACGTAATATTTGTGATCGGGTTCAGTTCAATATCTTCAATCAATCAACCTATTCGAAAAAAAGAAATGTGTAAGTTGTTAAGTTCTGTGTAGTATGTGCTGTGTAGGGGATAAATCATTAAACTAGGCCGTCAGAGTAAGAATGAAATCTGATTGGCTGAATTTTAATAAAGAATATAACATTGCACATGGGTTTTGATGGTAATGTTGTAAGCAAAAGTGCGATATTTATATCTTAGAAGCTCCTCCATTATATAATATAATTGTATGTCACTAAATATCTTGAATTCAACTGCCAGATGTTAAACCTATATTAGTCTGTCCCATATTAGTGGTAGTACATGTACATGTTAGTATGTTAAACACGTTTAACATGTTTTACTCAGGCCTCTCAATTTCTTGTATACGAAGGAAAAAGAATTGAAGAAAACACGAATTTGACTCTTTTTCAAAATGTCCTTAATATATATTAATATAAGTCAATTAGACTTCTTGCTTTGGTTTCAAGTTATTTGAGTTTTGATATATATGTGTGTAAAGGTTACTGTGGAAACAACAATGCACTAAAATGACCAGGGTTTATCATCATATTGATGATACAAATATTCATTGAAATCAAGGGCGCATTGAGATATAGAAAAATGGTCGTTATGACTTGTATTTGGCAGTAACACCCATGCTAAATTAGACATCTGTTTTGTTGTTATGTAAGTATAAACTAGCTGTCTCGTCGGGTCTGAATTGGATGTTAAATAATATGTCCCTTTGGTGGAGAGTAGCACGCTCCTTTTGACGATGACGCTTTGTTACATCCACATTTAGGGTAAGTAGGTGTCCTGTTGAAAGGCCCAATTTAAGACTCTTTCAGTATATTCGTTTAACGAAAATTTTCAAATATGTACCTTTATCTCAGTCGACCCGCTACGCTCAACCTACCTATATATCGGTTTATAGTAAATTTAGTAAATCAATGTATGATTTAAAGTGTCATCAAATGTTTTTTTTTTTCTTTTTTTCTTTTATCAAAATCCTAATGTAGCATTGTCCACCTCTCTCGTAATTGTTTATACATTAGATAATAACACATGCATACTCAAGCACACACTGAACCTGTAATATCGATTTCTTTGGGTTGCTACACTTTGATTTGTCTTTCAGGTGGATGTACATACTTGAAGGGGAAGTAGGAATATTGAAGTCTACCTTCGATTTATCTGAAAAGCGGACGATCGTTAACTTTACGTCAACACCTGTTTATTGCATGGATATAGGTACGTTGCTACTAGTTAGCTTTGTTGTAATGTTGCTTATAATGTGACAATTTGTCATGTTTTCATTATAAGATTGAATGTTTATATACATCTATTATCAATCGAAAAGTTAATCCATCTGTATACATATATTAATGAAAGAAAGTACGAACAATAGACGTGCAAGCCTTTTTCCCCAGCAAAAGTAATAGCATTTCTACTGTTAAAAAATATGAATAATCTAAAAAAAATGTGAAAAAGAGAAGAAAAAAATACACGGTGAAGTATATTTCTGGTACAGAACATATGTATTGCTGATCAGATGTGTTTACTTTTGAAAAGAAAACCGATAGAATTTATAAACATTTCTTTGTTCATTGCTTCACGGTTCACCTGAGTACATCAATCGTAAAGTTTACACCATAATTTAAAAAGTAGCTGTGATACAGTCATATATAATCAATGTAAAAATGTGGTATAGTTTTTAACCATTTGTTTACAAATATTGTAGACACTGAGGAAAACATACTGTATTGGATTAATAACAATGGTGACATCAAATTAGCTAGGGACGACGGCTCTGATGTTGAAACCATCCTTTCGACAAATTTTGCTGGCTACAACTTTGCTATTGGTGTCTTTGGTAGCTATATGTATTATGCTGATCATAATCAGTTGTTAATGGTAACTAAAACACCAGGATCAACGCCGACTGTCATGTATTACGATACCAGCAGCATTTACTGTATATTTGTTTTCAATCCATCAAGTATGAAAATAACCATTTATAATCACTTGTAATGATAACTAACGTCATAAGTCGACTGGGGTGGACACGTATTTACAATATCATATCAAATAATTATACATACTGTTGATTCATTTATTTTCGTGGGTATCAATTTTCGTGATCGAGGAAAACTTGTATTTTCGTGGATATTTGATTTCGTGGTTTTGCCTAAATCTGCAATAATTTCTATAGAAAAATTGTAATTCGTTAAACATTAAAATTTGTGGTTCCCGGGAACCACAAAATCCACGAAAATTGGTATCAAACGAATGATAGTGGATCCACAGTACATGATAAGTACCGATTAGCAGGTTGTCTGCAAATTGATATAGTAAAATATCAGCTGCGAGTCACAAAATGAAGCTTTTTCTCGAATGAGCACAGCGAACGAGTGCAAAAAGGCTACATATGGTTTCGAGCAGTTGATATTTAACAATATAAGTATGCAGACAACCAGATAATCGATTTATCGGGTTATATTTGCGTAGTTTGCATGCATTTCTATGTTACACCAGCAAACAAGAAAATCACTTGATAATTTCGGATCAAATGTATCAACGTTCATTCATTATGACGTCTGTGATATGTTCGGGTCAAAGTTTTCAAGGCCGGATCAACGTATTTCACGTCACATAGCCGTTATATGCACTTTTATTAAGAGCTGAGTTGATTGATACAGACAGTGGGACGACCGATAAGACATGTTATTTATGCATTATCTCACATATTATTTTACATTTAAACCTGAATTCCTACGATATTCGTGGACGTATAAGGACAGACACGGTACATGTTAGTACTGTAAAACCGTCATAAGCATGTTTTGTAACCAATATGAAAGTAACATCAATGTTTATCTGTTACCATATTCCTAAAAAGAATAACATTACACATTTATTCTGAATTATGTTTTGTAAGTCACTAAAGTAACGCATATCTGTTTATGTTTTGAAAATATTTCTATTATATGGAATATACGTGTATAAAAGCAGTCGAACGTCCCGTTTAAAAAAAAAAAGCACAAGCTGTTTGAAAGAATAGGTCGGTTTGCACTCAGTTGTGAAGTGTCATAACCGAAACACCAAAACTTAGAATTACAATTGAAGTCAATCTTATTTTATAACATTACATTTTGTTTCTATATTTTGTATCAGTGTCCTACATGTCTTTATATTTGTTTATTTCGAAGTGCAAGTTGCTTTCTAATCTTTCATGTTCAGCTTTTACTCCGTATATACATATCTTGTTATTCTGATTAACCGAATGTACATGTGTAGTTTCATTCTAACGTTGGCTTCAATGCGTCATATGCAAATTGCTAATGCAATGTTTTTATTTTATTAGTTAAAGTTACATGTGTATGCTATAAGTTTTGTAATGTCTTCACTGATAACATGTTTTAGTTTCAGAAAAGGGAGAAGGTTTGGTACCATTAAAACGTTTAATCCCGCTGCAAATGTTTGCACCTGTCCTAAGTCAGGAATCTGATGTACAGTAGCTGTCGTCTGTTTATGTAGTTCATCCGTGTTTCTCGTTTTTATATAGATTAGACCGTTGGTTTTCCCGTTTGAATGGTTTTACACTAGTAATTTTTGGGGCCCTTAATAGCTTGCTGTTCGGTGTGAGCCAATGCTTCGTGTTGGAAGCCGTGCCTTGACCTATAATGGTTTACTTTTATAAATTGTTACTTGGATGGAGAGTTGTCCCATTGGCACTCATACCACATCTTCCTATAACTATTTACTATTGATATGTATTTGTTGTTGAAAAAAATAACTTATTTTAATTTCTTAAATCTCGTTCATCTATTCATTTTTTTTATAATTTCATGGAATAAGGTGATCTGTTATTTTTGTTAACGTAACAACTTTTGACAACAATTAAAATAATCATGTAACTTTCATGTTTAAGTCTGAAACTGCTAATAATGAAATTGTACCAAACAAGAGGTAAGAATGTTAAATTAAGTTTTCAATCTTAATCAAATCAACATACTACTTTGCCCTATTAGTATCTAAATACACAAATGTTGTATCATTGTCAAGTGAGACAACTCTTTACTGTTTTTTTTTAATTGATTAGAATTACGTTTTTAATCATGTTAATATTAATCAAAGACATATACTACTTTGCTTTCTTAGTATGAAAAAGCAAAAATGTGGCATTATTGTCAACTGAGACAATTTTGAATTAAATAGCATTATCATGATTATGTTTATAAAATCAATTTAATTCACCAAATCTCATTGTTCGAAAAAAAAAAACAACATTCTACTTTATACAAATGGAATTTTTTCTAAGTCATAAAATATGCGAATACTTTATAAAAAAAAAACTGTAAGCGCTTTATCAACACTTTTCTTTTTCATTTTTTATCTTTATCATCTGAGTGTGATGCAGCACCATCAGTACCGGATTGACGTCAGGGTGAGATGTATGGATCATATAATCAGCCTCTAAACATGGATATGGACCATAGAGGTAGCATCTAAACACGGGTAAATTATGATATGGTCTTTAGTAGTGCTGTTTTTTATCAGCATGTTTACAATTTTTTATCAAATTATATTATAACAGTAAATTGTTGTTTTGTCGGTCAAGGAATTGATATTGTTAAAGAAGGAAGAAAGATTAGAAAACGCATGATTTATGGCATATTAAATCAATTGTGAATTATGAATATATGATATCATGGCGCATGTTTCCAATCGAAATATTGAAACACGTATAAACAAAGACCAGTCAATACAATAATACTCAAAGTCATGTATTCCGGAAATGTTAAACTAACATGTTTTGAATTCTGCCTGATTGGTAGTCCATCCATTTTTTACCTATGATATTGTTTCAACAAAAATCGCATTGTGTTAACACTAAAATCGTATCAGGTGAACAGAACAGAACGTTGTACGATTTACCATGGCGACATCATCAATGCTGTATGAATTCCGCTCTTCATTACAGCCACTTACATTAAATTGTAAGACGAAAGGATTTAAAAGAAAGAGTAGTAATGTCTTCGGTATGATTACCAATGACACAACTCTCCACCAGAGATCAAATGATTTAGAAGTTAACAAGTTATAGGTCACCGTACGGCATTCGACAATGAGCAAAACCCATACCGCATAGTAAGCTATACAAAGCCTCGAAATGACAAATGTAAAACAAATCAAACAAGAAAACTAACGGCGTGATTCATATACAAAAAAATATACGAAAAACATAACTGATATACACCCTAAATCTGGTACAGTGCATGGTGAAATAAAACAAAGTCAGAACAGACTATAAAAAGCGGTTAAAAGGGATTAACTCGTTAAATCGTTACCATGTTTGTTTTGTCTGTACTTTCATTTTGTTATAAACCATAGCGCTATTCTTGTGGATTTTTTTATGCTGATAGTTGTTGGTTTTGACTTTCTGTTAGTTATCCTGTCGAAATGTGAACGAAGGGATATATATGTTAACGTTTGAATTGATTGTCACATACATTTATTGTAAAAAAAAACCCGCTTATTGTTAACAGATTGTGTTTTTGTTTTTTTGTGTTGACGTCAAATTGATGATCTCATTCATGTCCAAATTGATAGAACGTGGTTTCCCCTAATGTTAGCAGAGTATCATTTAGAATATAAACATCGGAATACAAAGGGTCGATTGAGTTTTGATACAAAAAACAACGAAAACTGCAGAAAAAATAATCTCCATTAATGATAAATGTATATAACTTTATTGGATTGGTAAACATTAGTATTTGTTTATATACCCGCAAGATGATTTTGTTTTAATCACACTTGAACAATATAACTGAACATTTTTTTTTAATATGTCAGAGCAATTTTGCTGTTACATTTTCTGTTCTGTCTAATAAAAGAAATTTTTAAGGTTAAAAAGACAACCCGGAACTTGGTAATCAGTTTCTTCATGTAAGTGCAACAACTGTTAAGGATGCGTCTGATAGTTTTGATTACAATTAAAACAAGGAAGTTGTTATCAATTCTAGCACTTTTTGCATTGTGTTCTTTGTGTTCTTAAATGCTTTAAGTTTCTTGTTTTACCCTCTATGCGTTGTTTTCAGTTGTATTAAAATGATGGTGACAGCTCACATGGCTAACATAACCAAACGTTAGTGCAGTAATAATATATATATATATTTTTTTTAAATTAGTTATAGTAAACAATGACAAACGTTAAAACATACAACATTATAAATTGAATACGTTATTGTTCTATTCAATTCCGCGTACTTGCAATGCTTCACTCGACATGAACACATAAATGTGCGAGCCATCTGTACACATTTAGTGTAAATGATATTGGTAACGCTACTTTGATTCATTCGATGTAGGTTCGTGGATATTTTTCACTCCTTTAACGACGTGTCGACAGTTTGTCCTGCTAATTGCAGTAGGAAATCATTAAATCTAAGAATATGTTGTAGTTAAAAAGAGCTTAAATCCATATCGTTTTGGTTTCATGAAATAATTTTAATTTCTTAGAGTGCAGTCAAATTATTAGGGAACTCAAACGGAAAGGCAAATACATTGATGTGAATGATTTATTGATACGATCTGAAATCAATATGTAATTTTGTCAAACACTGGATTCAAAATATCTATAAACAAATAATGTGTTTTTTTTTTAATTACACATTAAAGTATTGCTGTTTTGCAGTTATCTGAATGAAGATTCCTTATTTATTTATTCGTGTAAGGATACAAATACGTAGAAAAATGCTGTAACAAATATGTCTTTGATTATTAAATAAAAAGCATGGAAACATGGTAATTTACAATACGCATGACATATATAAGACATGCACGCGTGCTAATTATAATAGATATTTACTTCATTAATTTACAGATTGAACTAGAGGGGTGTAATTTATTCAATTGTCAAACGCAACTGTATCTTTAGATCGAAAGGTTAGCATAACGGGTTGATTTGATTATTTTAACAAATTTGTCATTAACAGCTGAATATCCGGTGGTTGTTTTATGAAATAAACTAAGACATTTGCACAAGTAGTTTTAAGTGCATGTGATATGTTAGGTGCATACACATACACGTGTGAAGTTGGGTAATTATTATGATAGTATTTTATGCCTTATGACAATAATGGATTAGGAAAATGTACCTCTCTACATTTTAATTGAAACTAAAAGAATATTAATATACAAATGAGGAGATGTGGTATGATTGCCAATGAGACAACTATCCACCAAAGTTCAAGTGAAGTGTTAACTTCATTAATGTTAAACAAATTATGTTAGTATTGTTCAGTTCAATGCATAACATATTTTGAATAAAGCTATGCATGTTATTTTGATAAGCCTTGTTTTAAATGCGTGTCACTATGTTTTAGGACGATTTACTACACTGCATAAATGATAATGTTTGCCGACATCAATCTATCGGACCATTGGTAGAATTTTGCAAAACTTTACATTGGTAAGTTAATATTACTATATAAAATGTAATCAAGGTAATCAGTTCAGATTCAATTATATTTTACTATTGAACAAAATTCATTATTAACTCTTGTATTAAGTAGACTGTATATATTAATAATTCGTTTTTATTTGAGAAAACACATATCGACGGAAAGAAGACGTAATCGAGGTATATTTCAAATGTTTGCATTACCTTTGTATATATTCTCGTTTGCCTTTATCTTGTATTTCTTCAAACAAGTGTTAAGTCAAACAAATTCCCGAAATACGACGAATTGATCATTTGTGAAATGCATTTATAAATTATTGGAATTGAAATAGAAAAAAAACATATCATCGTTTGAATGCAACACATTTTGAAAAATCGCAATAATTATTTGTATTTGTATTTGTATGTATATCCTTCTTTTGCGAAATGGTACATGGTGGAAACATGTATACTACAAATGCTATTTAGTCTCACTCAAATGCGTATAGATATTTCTACGTGCATGTAATTGTATAAAATATCATCAGCATAATTAAATCCGAATTTTATTTAAACTTTGCCTTAAGAATTTTGATATTATCGATAATCGTGATATGTTTGTTATTCAATTTATTTCATGTCTTATAGAATTAATGTTTGTACTTTTAATCAATATGTGTACACTCTGAATTTACGTGTTATGCCTAACTAATACTAAAGAAATGACCGTGACATCGTATATCATAGATGTTGTTGTTTTTATTATAGGTCAAACTGAATTGTTAAAACGCTGCAAAAAGTGGTCTATAATTCCAATAAATTATGCGATGATACGAATATAAAAATTAGACGATGTGGTGAGATTGGCAATGAGACAACTCTTCGCAAGAGACAGTTTTAAAAGTTGAAATTGATTTAATTAATTTGAAAAATAAAACAAATATAAGTGGGAATAATACAGGGAAAAAAAGTTACAGAAAGAGCTTCAAATGATGAAAGAATAAGACGTCCACATGTTTAATTATAATCAGGAGTGAACTAAGGAACGTATGAATTAAACAATGAAATATCGAATGGATAAAATAAATATACTCTTTGAGTATACAGTGATTTCAATATCATGAATATTGCGACAAGAGACATAGTATGTTTCCCACCATGACATTTCCTGGGTTCTTTGCGAGTTTTTTCCCCGAGGATCTACCTATGGACAGTTCTTTCCCCGAGGATCTACCGATGGACAGTTCTTTCCCCGAGAATTTACCATCCCGGTCACTTATATTCATTTCAAACAATTAAAGAAGAACCGATAAACTAGATGACCCGTTGTCAAGGATGACATGAAGTTAATGGGATGTTATCAAGGAGACAACAACTCCGAAAGGGAAAGGAAGGTGGTCCTAAGATTTGTTTTAAAAAGATGGCATGAAAACAACATAGTTTAGTTTTCGAATATCTCTTTATACTGCAAACTGCAAAACTTCAGACTAGTTTATGTATAGTCATCCAAGTACTGTACTACTTTCAGATGAATTAAATCAAGACATTGTTTAGTCATTTAATCTGTACATACTGTGTTATTATTTGAAAAAAAAGTGTAGATGGAAAACACAATGTTATATAATTGTTTAAAGATTATCATGGTTTTTTCTCAGTTTTCTTTGACAAACGATAGTGTTGATATCATTGAAGCCCATGTGAAATGTAATCATTTTACTTATCTTGATAATTATAAACATGATAAAACGAATCATAACTGCATTTACTTTAATTAAGTTGTACTCCTCATTGATTATCTTTAACACTGGAAATTTCAAAATGATTAACAGACATGTTTACAGCAAGTCGATTTTATATAAAATAATATCCGTCAAATATAAATGCATATTGAGATTAACAGCAATCAAACAGTAGTGACTTGAAATGAAATACACTTTGCATAATAATTTTTTTTAAAACAAAACTTGATTTTGTTATTGAATCACATATATCGCAGCGGTAACTAGCATGTCCCACGTCTTAAGTAATTTTTGTTTGGTTAAATATGATAGACTCATATAACACTTATATAATAAAAAATGAATAGTGTCAGAATATTATGGAAGTATCATATTAAAGATGCTGTGATTTCCGTCATTTGCCTTTAACATGTTTAAGTATTCCCATTATTAAACACAGAATCTTTGGGCCTGTGTATCTTTAATATGATTAACATCAATACACATAGTGTATACATGTAAGAAATATATCTTTTTTTAATATTTAGTTTGATATGATTCAGTTTTGTCCTTTTGTGTTCACTTTTTAATAAATAATTTTTCACATTTATTCAGTTTTCTGTATTCTGAGGAAACATCATATATTTTTTTAGTTTGAAAACCTTTATCTTGTTGCGTTCATGTACATACATAGCTACATGTTTGTATTTGATAAAGGATATGTAACTCCCTGATCCATAGCTATGATTCGAAATTTAAAGTTAGCTATACTTTTTCATTTTTTATAGGGTGTTTAACATTTGTTTTATGTTTATTTTAATATACAATGTTTTTTTGGCTCGGGTCTCACTGAAAATACAGTAATTGTCGAAATACGCACATAATGTAGTGCAATTGGCACCGTTTGTGCTATTTCAAGATAAGGTGATGTTGTATGATCGCCAATGAGACAACTATCTAAATGAGTCCAAATGACGTGGATTCAAGCAACAAGTATTTACCGTATAGACCTCGAATAGATAGACATCAAATAGGAGCAAAACCCATTTCATACATTCAGCTATAAAAGGCAACAACATACATGAACCAAGTCTAAACAACTCAAACGAAAAAACCCAGAGGCCTGATTAAGGACAAAACAATAAGCCAAAACAAATATGACAGAAAAACAACTAACGACTACCGATGAAGTATAGACTATAGTGTTACACGCGTTTGTAAGCTTCGATTCTCATTCAACCTGTGACAGAGGTATAACCACATAACATTAACCAAGACTGTACAAATAAGTTTGAAAAGCTCGATGCATGAGATTGGTACACAACACAAAAACTAATAGCATGAAGGCAACATACCCAAAAACAACTTATATACAAATCATGTTCTACGTGACTAAAGTATCAATCCGTACATATACAACAGACACCATATACAATATTCGAACAGTATAAACCCATGTCAACCCCAACATGACAGATTATGACTGTGAATAAGTAAAATGTAATGTACTGTCGACAAGCCTATAATTAAAAACAAACATAAAATCACAGGGTACCGTGAGGGTATTCCTCATATCTTGACTAATAACTAGAAGTTGACAATGAGAGTCGGGTAAGAAAAGCACCTTAACACAAAACAGATTATCTTAGCTTCCCAATTTGGAACTTTCCATGTCTATGTGGTAACATTCAAACAGCGCTTGTATATGGAGTTAATATCTCTAAATTAATACAAAATTCCTAAATTTGCATTTTATATCATAATTTGCTGCTTACAAGGAAGCTATAAAACCAAGAGTGGGTTGACCGCTGTAGAATATATGCTTCACAGATGACGATTGATATGCTCCATTTCTATTTGTTGTAGACTCTTTTTTGTTTGGTCGTGTTTTTTTCGTTTTTTTTCCGGTGACGTTGTCAGTTTCACTCCGACTTGACCATGTTGACAGTTTTGCATGTCTACTTAATGTCTTCCGCCTAGGTTTTTGATATGATTATATAATAATATATTCATTCATAATTGAACTTAAGTTTTTTAAGGAATGTTAGAATATATATATAAATATATAAGTACGTCTGAACCAGTGACAACTCTACAACAGATTTTTCCATCGGATCACCAGCAGTGATGGCGATACATGGCTGTGTACATTCTGTATATACAACTCGTCTAAACATCAGCCCAACAAAGTTAGATCTGTAAATTTGCTTTCGCAAATTTTTTGTTCTTCCCTCGCCGGGATTCGAACTCATGCTACTAAGATATCGTGACACCAAATCGCCTGCACTGTATCCGACGCGCTAGACCATACGACCAATTAGGCTTTACAAATAATAAAGCTTTCGGTGGTCGGGTGTTACCTTTCCTCGTCAGTTTTAATCTAGCGTCGTAATACAGTACATGATATATAAGGCATGAAGATGGAATTGTTACAAATCAGCTGAAAAATCTATTGTGAAGGATCCTACAAATTAATGCAATATACAGTCACAGAAATATATATATTTATAAGTACGTCTGAATCTTGGCTTACATCTAGAAATTGACAATGAGGGTCGGTTGAAAACAAATTTTACGGCAAAAGAGAACATTTCTGCTTCCCAATCAAATGAAAATGCTATATTTATTCGTGTCTTCACAATGTTCTGCTGTACTCGTATCCAAAACTTCTAAATTACTTTGTAATCATTCAGGTGAATTTACATTCAAGTAATAGCTCTTTGAAAATAAACAGTTTGGATGTTTCCTTTTTCGTCTTCCGTATGCGTTTTTTTAAAGGCTTGGTAGTCGTTTTTTCACAATGTTTTTTTTCTTCAGTACAATGATAACATAATATTTTAACACCCATTGAACCAAAGAAGATGTGGGTATGTGAACAGCAACAACCAAATGATAAACAATTAAAAAAAAACTTCCACAGGCCAACATGCAGTTTTCAACAATGGCTAGGTGTCTATACAATATACCAAGCTCTACATCGTACCGAGTATACAAAAAGAGGCGCAACATTACCAAAGGACACATACACCTCAAACGTAGGAGAAACTAAACTTATTTTATACGTTTCATTGTTACACAATATTTTGACAGTATTATGGCTGCTGCTCAGTATTTGGAGTCATGATATTGGGCATTACAAAAACAAGAGAAAAAAAAAGAGATACTGTATTCAAAAGACAAAACATATGCATCAACTCGGTTCTTTAGCAGTATTGAATGTCATATCCGGGAAGTAAGTACAAATATTGCACCATTAAAAATGTGTATAAAGCTAAAGACGTCGTTTATATGTTGAGATACAAAAAGCAAATCTTATCTTCAACTAGATATGTATCATACATTCATTTTAAATGGATTTCAAAACATTCGAATCAGTAAATACATTTTAACAATAATTATGTGAAACAGGTTTTGTTAAAAATTGAAAGAACGACAAGAAAGTAGCAAACTCAAGATGAACAAATGGTGAATAAATTCTGCATATGGACCTGTGAGGGAAAAGTATTGTCGTCCTGATCAGTCTTGAGAGTTCATTTCTATCTATTATAATTTCTTCAAGAAAGAAGCAATTGTGGAAAAGGGTTATCAGATACTGTAAGTATTCGAGTAACTGTTGTATTAATATTTTTTTTTTGTAAATTTTCAACAAGAAGTTTATATCAAAGTTTTTCTTGTTTACAAAAAAAAAGTTCCCATATCTTGTTTTAACTTCTATATGATTATTGTCCTGTTCCTTTGAAATATTATGACATGACGCCCTATTCATTAAGTCGTGTCATGTTATTTGAACAGGCTTATGCAATGATTTTATATTTCCATTATACTTTTTGAAATTCACGCCTCTTGATTTAAAAAAACAAGGATGTTTTTATTGTAAATTTGTATCTTATAAGTACAACAGTGCAGATGAAATGATGACAATTTAGTTGTAGGACGCACTTTTGATGATTTTGGTTCGAACGAAGAAAACAATTCCTTAATTGAACAGCAACCAATCACATATAGCAATACAAAAGAAATACAAAAAATACAAACACTGAATCAAGGATGACTCCCGTTGGCTAGTTTCGTGTATAATACTGATGATTATTGCAGAAGGTTTTGTTCGTTGTTTGTTGTTTGTGATATGCCATTGGTTTGCAGGAGTCGACTGCTATTTGTTGCTTTTATCTAATGTCCATGATACCTCTGTCATATAATGTATGCATCAAATTTGGTCAATACATTTCTAGCAGGATTTTATATTACAGGGTTTCTGTTTACAATTAGGTCTGACATCCAAGTTTTCCAAATTCTTAATATGAAATATCCTCTGATGGTTTACGTAATGAAAAATAATCAGAAAAATATATGCAAAACAGAATAGATTACAAATATAAACAGAATGATGTTGGAAAATTAAGATAAAAAGGAATCACATACATGTAAGACTTATCGTATCACAATTTTATCGTTGTATCGCGA